TGGGTTTGAGAGGAGACTGACATTGATTTTCTTGGCCTGGTTATGTGATGGCTGAGGCACCTGCCTCTGATCTTTAACACTGACCAGAACCTTTCTTTTCTGTAACAACATCTATCCTGACACACAGTGATACATACATGTGCGCGTGCACATAAACACTAATGCACATCATCACACACATTGTGAAGGAAAGGTGATGCCTAGAAAGCTGAGGGGAGCCTAAATCCCCCAGTAAAAATAATCTAATTCACTAACATGTGGCACCTTCTTGCCTTTACCAAATAGGTTTATTGATCGGTTTCTCTTTTAAGATGTTTTTGGCCTGTCCACTGGGAACAAACACTGTATTAATTCTGGCTACAGGGTAAATCAATATAAATGGCTAGCCAGGCATTGCTTGATGAAACAAGCATAATCAGCTGCTTTACTTTGAACTGTGATAATATGGCATCTCTCCTCCAGGTTATTTACCTTGTGATTGTTTTTATGTAGCTTTTATTTAACCTCGCTCTGAGGGAGGGAAAAAAAAGTCATATATATTGCTACCTGTACAGTAGTTGTTTTTTTAACCTCAAACAGAATTATGTATTCGACCTCTGCTGACTGCCGGTGGTATATCTGAAGATAGATTCTTTTTTTTTTTTGTTTGACGTAAATTTGAGAAAATGACGTACATGAGTGCAAGAGGTGTGTTGCAGTCAGTGACATGCACATGAAAGCCGTTCGGCATCTCATAGATTCCTTTTATCATCTGTAACTTTTTCCTCTCCTCATTTTCCACAATGGCAACCCCTATTCTCTCTCTGTCTCTCTTGAAAAATAGTTCTGAAATTTACAGTTTCAATCACCACACAAGTTCAAATCCTGCTGCCTGTAGTGGACAAGTTCAGAGGAAATACAGAGTTATGACCTTGGCATCGTGGACTGGAGATTGAATGTCTAATGTTGAGATCGGGGCCCGTCTCCGGGGAGGTGATGGAGATGGACAGATGCTCTAATGTCAGATTTTCTATTCCTCTGGTATGCTCTATTATCTTGATGTGTGCTCTTCTCACTATGAGCATGTGGCTGGAGTAAACAGTTAGCCAAGTTTGGGATGGACTACCGACAGGAATAGACTTAAATGGCAGTAGGTTGCGGGAAACGCTGAAGGGAGCCAGAGCTGTGGCTGCATCTAGATGAAGGGATTATGGTTATGATACATCTGCTTGTGGCAGTGAATGTCTGCTGGGCATAGAGACATATGCTCTGCCTTTGTGTTGAGCCATAGGAATAATGAACTGGTAAACATCAAGCTCAGTGATAGATAAAGCGGATACCGAGCGAGCAATTGACAGGAATCCTGGGATGAGCTCTGGATAAAAGCTGAGGTTCAAAATATGTCAGCTTTAAGAATTTTAAGAAAGGGTGTTTGCCCTGTGATTAGTGTCAAAGATCACACGCAAATTATAAGCACATGGCTCAACACCGTCTCCACAAAATCCTGTCTACACAACTAAACTGCATTCTCAGTCATGCTTTGAGGAAAATACATTTCTGTCAGATTACAACTGTTTCTAACAAATCACAAACATGTTTAAAATCAAGATATATCTGCCACTTATTGCATTGCTTTATTGTCACTCTTTTTTAGGCAGCCAATCATGTATTAGAGTCACGGTAACCCAGAAAACAGAGGAGAAGCTCCAAACATGTTGTGAAAGGGTTGTACTTTAATGATATTTTCCTAAACATAACCAAGTAATTTTGGTTTCTAAACTTAACCAAGCTTCTAACCTGTACTTAGTATTGAAAGTAGCAACCTAATAGTGATAACTGACTAAACCTAACCATGAGTGTTTGGTGGCTAAACCTAACCAAGAACTGAAATAAACAAGTAAAAACGAAACCTAACACCTAGAATAATGGTCTCACACAGGACCGTGTAGACTTATGCCTCCACCCGTACCTCCTGCCTATTTTTTTTAATTTATTTATGTGGCTCTTTCTAGCTGGAATCCTTTCTTACGTCATAGGTGACAAAGTGAGTTTTTTTCAAAGTGAAACCACGTTTCTTTAAAACGGAAAATGAAAAAGGACTTAAATTGTACTGGAACATAATTGTGTGTGTAAAGGTCCCATCTTATACCCCTTTATTAATTATTAATTATTTCAAGTTTAAGCTCCACATATAACACGATGTGTACATTTCACTTTGATTTTACAACATCTGGTTTAAGCCCCGTTTTAAATGTGCTGCTTCGGTGTTTGTAGCTTAACGTCCAACTGAGCTGCTCATGCCTCCACCCCTTTCAGGAAGAGAGCAGTAAGGACACCTCCCTTTGCGTCAGCCAGCTTATCCCGTTGAGATTTCACAACAGGCTACAAAAGTGAATGGCTAGTTCAGGCACACATTTTTTGATCTGTGGAGAAAGCAAGGAAACGAGGAGATGGTCTTTTCTCATAACTTGTGGCTCTACACTGAGGACTTGTAATTATATTCAAAAACAATGGAAAACTGGATTTTGCATATCCCTCTTCAGTAAATACTGGACTGTGAACTCTGACATTTTATTAATATTATTCAGTCAAAATCTTATTCCTAATGCTTTTACATATTTATTTGGGATGACCTTCTCTTTACCTCATCATGATAGTGTTCTCCACACTACTGACCAGGACATTGATATTGTTAAAACTCTGTCCACTCATATACACTGTGTGAGAGACATTATATATTTTTTGAAACTAGAAAATATTACATTGTCCTTAGATAGTTCTTGAAACAAATTTGACATGTGCAAGGAACTCTTTTCCTTTACATGTCACAAGAATGCCTTGTGGCTGACAGAGGCATCTTTTGTCATGGCAGCAGGTTATTTTTGTGTGTTACGCGTGTTTCTACAGTCACCTTATTGCTGGTGTAATTTGCAATTGCTGTATTATTTAAAGATGTTTGTATTTACTCGGGTAGTTTGGGAAAAGGTATGTGCAATACGTGCCATGGGGAGAGTGGCTGGTGTTTTGTTTACAGTTATTTATTGCTTGTGACGGTACCTTGTTATGTTGTCATTGCAGGGAGAAAATCAATAAACTTTGAAAAAATAAAAAAATATTGGATTGGCTCAAGTGCCACAGAGAAAAGGGGGGAAAAAAAATATTTTAAGCAGTACAAAAGTAGACCCAGCATGTAAAGACGGTGTAGCAGAGAAAAGAGCCAGGATGGCTCATGGGCCCGGTGGACTCACACAGACACGCTGACTAACTCAAGCAGTATCAGCAGGCATATGGAGAATGGAGATTTTGTCATATTGCACAGTGCACTTGTCAGGCTGGGCAGATGGAAAAGGAAGCACAAATGGGTTGATAAAGTAGTAGAGGCACTTCTGCTGATTAACAATGATCCTTGATGGAAAAAAAAAAAATCTGTATTTATGTGCTCAGTCATCAGTAGTCAATCAATTGACACATGTTTAATGGAAACTAAAGCTGTGGGTAAAGTGTGTCTAGATTTCTCTTCTCACATTCTGATATTGGTGCCGCAGTTATGTAATTTAGTATTTGAGGCCTAACCAAAGCTTCTGAGACAGCTGATATGACTTTGGTGCCATTGTTTTACACCATATGTATGGTAGTATGACAAACGGTTGACCAGGGTGTACTAAGAGTCAGAGTGGTATTTTAAATTCAAGACAAGCTCCCTTTTTGAACTTTCCATTGAAACGTGATCTTTTTCCCATTTGTTCAGAATTTGACCAAATTATCACATGATGGAAAAAAACAATGTGAGAGTAATGTGAAACTGGGAAACGAAGTAAGGGGTCGAGTCAAAGGAAAGGTGCTCAAGTCTGCGTGAATCATGGACCACGGTGATAGAAGAGCGGAAGCTGTCTCCACCCCAGTAAAGGTCAGAACATGCACTGGACTTGTTTCTTTCTCTCCTGTGAACTTTGCTTCAACACTTTCTCTATCTTTTTTTTTTTCATGAACAGTCCTCACAGGGAGGCCAGAGGGAGAGAAAGGTCAGAAAATGAGGAGAACATAACTGTGAGGGGAAAGGAGAGACAGGAAAGGAAAATGCATTTGGGCTGCACATGTACACAAAGTGACATCACATAAAATCATTTGTTCATGATTTAAACTTCTTCAATAAAAAGGGATAGAAAGGAGTGTGTCATGGCAGAGATTAAAAGGCATTTGTGTGACAGGTGTATGTGGTGTAAATGTGTGCACAACAGCATCAGTAACATCATCAATAACATCCAGTGCAACGTCAAAACAATTGCAGACACATTTTCTCATAAAAAAAAAAACAGAACAACACATGATTTCACGTTTGTCAGAACTTGAACTGTTGCCCCTTAAAAAATCTGAATGCCAAACAATGGGAATGTTAGCAGAGTGGTGATGAGAAACTCTGCACATTCGACAACACTTTCACCTTGAAGTGTTAGTGAATGGGGAATCTGGACACATTTTTCTTTTGTAACTTTGACCAACAAACACATTTCCAATAGAATCAGTAGTTTGTTTGTTTTTTTTTTTTTTTCTTTTTTCTTTTGTCGTTTCCTCATTAATGTTTAAACCCAAGCAGAAGGGATAGCAGAAAAGTGTTACCTTCAGCCCCGGGGTCAGGTCGTCGGGGTCAAAGGTGGTCAGAGGTGAAGGTCCAGGACGTGAGCCATAGGACAGGACAAAGGGTGGGACACACATTGGTGGAGGTCACAGAAAAGCACAAAGATATGGCAGCAGGGAGAGGAAGGAGAAGCAGGAGGCACAACCAAAAGAAAAAAATGAAGATATGTGGAAGGTGACAAAGAAGGAGGCAGCAACAGGGAGGATGCTGCAAAGGATTAAAAGGCAAGGGAGGATTTGGGAGGAAATGGAGGGATATGGCACCGAGGGAAGGTAAAAGCAGAGGAGGAAACTGCGAGGAAAAGCTGTAGTTTCGAGGGGGCAAAGAGGCTGAGTCAATTCCTCTTAAAAAACAGAACCAAAATAAAAAAGGAATGAACCCATACCTTGGTCGTTTAACGTCAGGTGCGCCAGACCTTGAAAGGGAAAAAACAGAAAAAAAGAACAGAAAGAGGAAGAAAAGAAGGTCATAAAAGGCACGGGAAGAAAAAAAGCATTGTCACAACGTTGGACTGCAGTTTGTGACAGACATCCTGGGGCAGACTTGGATGTCAGAGTTCAAATCAAAGGTAAAAAACGAGAAAGAGAGAGAAAGATAGAGAGAGAGAGCGAATAGTAACAGAAAACAAGCAAACACTTCTTGAGTGAGGTGTGGGGGGGTTTAGAAAAAAAAGCATTTTCAATTGGCGCAACCCCCGAAGGCTATTGCTCTCACAAATGCTTTTTTTTCCTCTGGAGTACTTATGGAACACACAGAAAACTGTTTGGCAGAAAAAGGCTTCAACTGGATTCCTCGTCTCAGACTGTACTCAAATCAGAAAAAAAAAAAAAAAAAAAAGAATCTGAGCTCCGCGAGGTCTCACACATAGGGGGCCAGAGATAAATCTGGAAAACGCTACAGGATAAAACATTATCTGCACACCGATGTGGGTGAACAGCATCACAACAGCCACTTCAAATAGTTATTTCGCTAACTGTAGGCTATTGCACACACATCTAGACAAACACACAGATCAATAGATTAAAACGTCCACAATGAGCTCCCCCTGTTGCTGGTGAACAAGTCACAAATTAACTTCAGAATCGGGCTACAGTACAAAGAAGCCATCTCACATACAGCACAACCCGTAATACCAAACATATCAGGACCGTGTAGAATTCACAGGGGGAGAAAATAGGGACATATCTGAAAAGGTCCTGGTTTCTCAAAACAAAGCAGATGGAACCTTACCATCATCACCAAAGTACATCCGATTTGTGGTTAAACCCAACCAGAGTCAATGCTGTTGCAGAACAAGAGCCACATTCTTACAAACTTCCATGAATACAAGCAACAGGGTAAATGATGACAGCCCATTGTCTCTAAATCATGTAAATCAGAAGTAGTTATAGTTAAAAAAAATAAATAAAATAAAATAAAATTCCTAAGCAATTCTACATTGTCTATATTTTCAACTTTTTACAAATGCTTTAAACATTCATTTCAGTTTCCATGTAGACCCTGTGTGGGAAGGCTACTGCACAGGGGATCATGAGGGAATATATATCTGACAAGAGGGGAGAAAACCGCAAAATATCTGTTCTAACAACTGAGTTGGGAGTGTCCTTGAACTATACGTGTATAGTAGAATGTCCTCCGAATAGAATTCCTCGAAGCAAAGCATGGAAGACAGAAATAAGACTAAGAGAACAAATGAAAAACTGAAGCAGAGTTTATTCCCAAATAGACAGAATGGCTAAAGCAAATCGGATTTAACCCCGGGCATCGCAGAATATGAACAACATAATGTCTGGTGAACTAGAAGGCCCAAAAGGTATCTTGATCAATAATGTTTCAAACACAAAACCCTTGGTACGAACAACAAACAGCTCAATCTTTAAAAAAAAAAAAAAACGATTTAGCATCAAGGATGTGCCGTTCTACAGTCTTGGAGTGTTGTTCTTCATTTCTGTTTGGAATATCATCTTTCACTAGCATGAATGGGAGTCTAACATGCAGAAATGAAAGGCTATTTGTTACCTTAAGGAGGCTTGAAAAGAATCGCATGGCTGCAGAATATGCAACAATACAATTACCTATTAAACATTTAGCCAACACTGACACATTTATACTTTTTATCCTTCATCATCTAAAGACATTTTGGTATTCTGCACATTTTGTTTCCAGCAGCTGATTATAGTCAAATCAACAGATCTGTTCATGTAGAAGGTACACAGCACATTATAAAGGGTAATCATTGAGTCGCAGAGTTATGGTGACTCAATACCGCCTTTCACTTATCCTCTTGAATCAAGGATGTGCTAAAATACTGATTCCAAAACTCTGCCGACAGCAAAAAGGAGATGCAACCTTTAAAGCAGCACTAATCAACGCCAAAACTTCATGCACAGTAAATGTACTGTGGCCTGTCTGTGCAGCAACATTTGGACAAAATGACAAGATAACTGAGATACTTGACAGCTAAGGTTACCTAATCATTCAGTGCTGATCTTTTTTTTTTTTCCTTTTTCTGGCAGACAAACAGGATGGTGTCTGTCTCAAAAAAAGCAGTTTGTACACAACCGGTGGCTAGCTGTCCACAACATGAATGCACAAACACCTCTACACCACTACAAGTAGGCAGGCAAATCAGAATGCAAAGACTACAGAAGCTCAAATGACTCTTAACTACAAGCTGTTCCCATTGTCCGCTTTCTTAATAACATTTGTGATTCAGGGGCAGAGGAAATATACAGGCAGAGTGTTTTATTTATCTGGCTGCAGTCTGTTTCCTGCCGGCCCTTTGCAGGGAGTCCAATCATTCTCACTCTGCTTCCTTCTGTTTTTGTTCCCTTGCTCATAATCCATTAAGGAGATAAGGCGAAGGCTCCTGCAATGAAACAGAATGGTGCTGTCGCTGCATACCAAATCATTCAAATACACTCCCCACCTCCCACCCCGGCCTCATCCAGCTCAGGCAGGCAAAAGGGTACAATTTTATGGAACAGAAAGACAAGAAAAGGCAAAGAAGAGAAGGTGAGAATTAACACAAAGAGAAAAAGAGAGCAAAAAGACAGAGCACCAGCAGCAAGTTGTCAAATGGCATCTTCACAGCCTGTATTAACCAGAGACAGGTGTGACTGACAAACAGAAAGCCAAAAATCTATCAAAAGGAGTTGCTCATTCCAATGTATTATATCAGAGGGTGAAACATAATTAGAAATGTGGTTTTGGAGGGATTTTTTCTGCACAAATTGCAAAACATTTATTTTCACGCAACAGCTCTCTCGAAACAGAAAGACACAAAAGCTGCATACACACGAACACACAAACAGCCAGTCACACACATTATGTTGTGTTGGTACAAGCACTGGATGCAATTTCTCCTTACACGCCAGGTTCTGACTAGGGCGTGATGACTTTCACTAGTCTGAGAGAGATGAAGCAGCATGACAGAACATTTTAATTACTGATAACTATAGGGCATCCAGATACAACAGATACAAGGAAAACTTCTGTCTCTTCGTTTCTGTTATGCATCAATACAGAAACACAAAACAAATTACCACAGCCACAAGCAGTACTGCTGGACACGTACTGAAAACGGGGAAAAAAATCTGAATCCAGACTATGAGTCTTCCCGTCTCCTTGACATCTGAGCATTTGATTACATCCTTAATTCTGTGGTGAGTACAGATGGGAGTGCCTAACGGAACCGGCGCCGTTTGGAGAGCGGCTGTGATTGGCTGGTTATGATTGAGTGGCAGATGGAGCAGGGTCATAATTCTGTCATTAGGAGGAAACATTCTTTCGTCTTATCTGGCCTAGTCCTATTCTCCCTCTGTTTTCCTCTCTTTTTTTCCACCTTTTCTTCCTCCCTTTCTCCACACGCAGCCCTCCATTAGCCAGCTGCAGCTGCCTCCTGCTCTCTTCCTCCTCATCTGCCACTTTCTCATGCTCTCCTCTCAGGTCTGATGAACACAAGCCACCACTGTTTTGCAAACTACTGATTTCATTCGAATGACAGTTTGATTCTGGAAAAAAAATTGGTGCCCTGCCACATACTGCATGATAAAAATAAAAGACAACAAGCAGCATATGCACATAGACACACCCAAGGTATATTTGCACATAGCTAAAAGCACTTATCGACCAAGAATTACACGGGTAATGCTGTGGACCTTGCAAAAACATGAGATTTTGAAAAGTATCCAGCCAAAATTATTGAATGGTGAGTGAGCATCCATGACAGATAAATTGTTAACCGCCTTAATAAACAAGGAATTAAGACTAATCACAGGGTCCAGCATTTGTTTGTGCTTTGGCTAGACGTAAAGACAATTCTCGCACCTTAAGTCGTTCTGACATCCTATTTGGATACACAGATCATGCTAGGATAAGGTGTAATGAATAAAGACAGATTTGGAATTGTTAAGTAATGCATTTGTTTTGTAAGCAGCATTCAGTGGGTACAGCATGTTCCTGGGTGACATTGTCAGACATTAATCCGGCACAACGTTACTCAAATATTTACAGATTATGAGCATCATCATCCTACACATACACATTAACAGATGTGTTGGGTCTCAGGGCAATGGGAACAACACGCAATTGGAGAGAACAGAGAAAAATGGGAGTCATCATCATTATCTCTTTCTAGCCCTTCTGCTCTTCCTTTCCCCTCACTTTCTCTATCCCTCGTTCATCAGATGGACGCATAGGCCAAGTCACAAAGAAGAATGCGTTCGCTTTTCAGGCTCCCCGTGGTGTTGGGATGGCATGTTAAATAGCATCATCCTCCAAGGACTCTCACCAGCATATGGCCACAGCAGTTTACGTGCCTTCCATACTCACATAAAACCCTCTTCTTTACTTGCTGATCCAGAAATGATAGTCACACAACAGCAGCTGAAACATATTTTTAAGGACACAGTCTTTGATGACTTTAGTGGGAGCAAGCACTATCAAAAAGCAAGAACTGTCAAAGTGCATGAAAGTCATGAAATATAAAATAAGAACAATAAATTCTTTTATGTGCAGCTCATTGCTTGGTGCACCCTTGGCGCGAGATATAAAACTGCACACTATCTAAAACATTTGACACATCCACAAATCATTGGATTTTTACTAGGCCTGGGCTAAGATATAGTTTCACAGTGTGATCATTGCTATGTGTCTCTCAATGCCAAAAAGTACAGGCATGGGTCTTGAGTACTCAGAAACAAATCAGGGCAATTTGTTAAAACATCGGCTTAAAGATACTGGAAAATGGTTCTGATTGAATGTGAATAATATTCATCGCAGTAGTCTGATCTATAGCACAGTGTCGTTGAGCAGCTTAAGGAATATTGAAACTGTGGAAGAATTTTTAGAGCTTTAATAATTCATTGTGGGTATCTATTCTGTGAGAGAGAGGGAGATGGAGATAGTAGGAGG